GGGCCCCGCGGCTCCCGCGCCCCGCGGCCGGGGGAGGCAGCGAGGGGGCCGCGCAGGCAGCGCTGCTCAATGCCGCCTTTGTGCTCGGCTGCTGCGGCAGTTGCCACGTCAACCCGGCACCCAGGAGGCGCCGAGGGGGAGGAAGGCAGCGCGGCGAGGGAGGAAGCACAGAACGGGGGTCCCGTTTGCCCGGGCCGGGCGGGGGGACCCGAGCCGCGGCTCTGCAAAGTGCTGCGGATTTGGGGCGGCTGCTGCAGCTTTTCGGCCTCTGCCCACGCATGGGGGGCACGGGAGGCCCTGGGCAGCGGGACGGCGCCGGGCACGGCCGCCTGCTCCCAGTGCCCGGGGAGATGGCAGTCCCCCAGGGCTATGGGATCAACACGGCAGCAGCTCTGCCGGGGACGGAGCGGGGCCCAGACCCCAGAGCCGGGCAGCTTCCCGGGGGCGAGGGGCAGGAACCGCGGCACACCCACAGCAAAAGCCAGGGCCCTTGGGGGCTGCTCTTGCTAACGACCGTGGCTAACGAGTGAGGGCGGCCCGGGGCGCTGCCGAGCCCCCCAGGAACTCGCTTTACCTTCAGGTCCGTGTTGAGAATCCAGACAAACGTGCAGACCCGCGGGTTGCTCGGGCACTTGAGCACGACGAAGCCCCCGGGGCCGTTCTCCCCCCTGCGGAACAAGAGCAGCACGAAGGGCAGCCGGGAAGGCAATTCCCGCAAGTCCCAGCCCAGGTAAGCCCAGCTCCTCGGCGCGCAGAGCCCTGCAAGGCCCAGCCTGGTAGGAATGGGCACAAAGGGGCCGGCAACGCCGCGTGCCCGAGGAAGGCAGCGCGGAGAGCCCCGTCCTCACATCCCCCACAGCCTCCCCGGCACCATCTGAGGCGTCTCGGAGACAAAAGCTCTGCTTCCACACAGCCCAAAGAGAGATCTCCCTTCCCTGTTCAGGAACACACAACTGTTTTTGCTGCCTACATTGGTAAAAAGATWTTCTAGCCCCTGATGTCCCCAGCTCCTCAACAGACTGAGGCAGCTATAACGGCTCYGAGTTAAAACGTCAATTACTTTAACCACATTATTAGGAAAAACAAAGTCAGTGGGAGAAGTGGCACAGCTGAGCCCCAGGCTCTGGAGCAGACAGCAACAAGGAGCCGCTGCTTGATGAGACTGTATCCGTGCTGAGATCCATACCCAGCCGACTGCCCCTTTGGAAGGGGAGAGGCCAAAGACCTGTCAGTGCTTTGGGTGCGAGTCCCTCTTAAACGCTGCTCGTTTCACCCACGGGAGCAACCCTGGATGTCCTCAGCCTTTAAAATCAGTAAGTGACCGGCTTACGAGAAGCAAAAGGCATCCGAGAGGCTCCAAGAAAGACACGGTCAGCTGTTAACTGCCCCTCAGAAACGGCAACTGTCCCTGCTCGGGAATTAGCTGCTACACAAACAGGATGCGGGCCGCGTTGGGTTTGTGCTGTTATTGGTTGGCACCTCYGCTCCCGGGAGCGGAGCTGGGAAACGCCCGGGCGACACCGAGCAGCGCGAGAGGTCCTCGAACAAAGGGGGAAGAACAAGGGAAGCGAGGGTTAGTTCCACAAATAGATCAGCTTCCTCCAAACGGTGCCAGCGAGACAGCAGGGTTTTCACTTAGGTGGCTCTCTGCCCCATGCTTAAGCAAAGCGAGTGTGTCAAATACCAGCTGAAAAACCCAGAATCTACCTCTTTCCTACCTGACGTATTTGGAGAGAGGAGGCTTCAGGCTGTGCGTGGTCGATATCCCTGAGGAAATGTACCTGTCTCTTCTTCGCTCTATGCGGCGCACGTTCACGAAGTCCCTGCGCAAGGAGAGGGCGCGGGGCGCTTTGGGAAGAGCCCGGGCCCTCCACGGAGCGGAGCGGACGCTCCCGACGGTGCCGAGAGGCCGGAGCCGAGCAGAGGGTGGCTCTGCCGTTGGGCATGGGATCCGACCYGTCCCGGGGTGTTCCGAGCTCCCGGAGAAGCCTCCGGAGGTCCCTCCGGGGCTGGAGGTTCCCCGTATCCCATGGGGGCCCTGGGACGTGGGGCCGGCGGYGGCAGCGCGCGGCGGACGCTGCTCCCGTGTTCCGGGAGCGGAGTGAACTGACCTGGGAGAAACRACGCCGCCCGCGGCCCCCGCCGCCACGTCGTACGAGACGATCGTGTTGTCCTCGACCCGCTGCAGGATCTGAAAGGGATTTCCTCAGCACGGAGGGCAAGCGCCTCCCGCGAGGCCGGGGGCATTCGAGGGGCTCGGCGGAGCTCTCGGAGCGCTCCCCGGGGCTGCGCGCGCATGCCGGCCGCGCCAGCGGCACGAGGCGGCCGGGCCGCGCCGAGCGAACGCGGGCTCGGCCGCGGGCCCAGCTCCCTGCCCACCTCGTGGGCTGCTGGACCTGCGCGTCCACGTGGCTGGCTGCCACGGAGCATTCGGAGCGCACGGATGAGCGGCGCAGATTTAACGCCTCAGCGACGCCCATGCAGCTAAGCTCCAGGAGGGCCTGGGCACCACCGACAGCCGGTGTTGGCCCGGCACGCTCCGGCTCTCCGCTCCAAGGAGCTCCTGTGATTAAGCCATCTTTGTCCGGCACGCTCACCTGGCACGCTGCCACCGTTCTGTTCCACAGGATCATCTTCTCCGGCTGCAGAATCACCTCCTGGTAAACCGTTTCGGCAGAGCACTGCAGGAAAGCCTGAGGACAGAGGCAGGGCAGTTAGCTGGGCGCCTGCTCCCCTCTGCCACGCTTGTTTCTGAACGAGGGCAGGACGGATCACAAAGAACAACGGGGCTAACAGAGGCAGCGGCCCTGGCAGAGCCCACGTTGCTTCCTCCGTGCTGCTTTGCCCCGAGCTGGGCTGCCCACGGCTGCGGTGCTCCCGGGGCGCCCAGGACACACGGGGAGGCCGCCGGACCTCTATCAGCTATCCCGGTGCCCGTGCAATCGCTCCGGCGTGCTGCGGAAAAGCTCATTCCTCCACATCCCCGTGGGACGGGGGGGATCTCCGGAGGCACGCGGTCAACGCAGGGAAGAGGGGGCCATCCAGATTTCCCTGTCGCATCCAGAGCGAGGATCTGCCAGCGAGGCAGCATATGCACTGGAACAAAGAAAAGCCACGGCAGCACCAGCGCTTCATTAAAGCGTGGGCTGCAGCCAAGGCGCTCCAGCGAGCGGGCACAGAGCGAGGTGCTGCCGAGCAGCTCCTCTCGGTGCCAGGCGGCAGCAGACGCCCGCTCAGCCCTGSCCTTGCTGGCAATTAGCTGCAATTAGCCTCCTTGGTCAGATTAGTCCTCCGCACGGGGGTTGGAAGCAAGTCTTGCAGTCACCTGCTCCCACTTCTACCAGCACGGGCAGGGGCCCAGTGTGTTTTTGGGGAGGCTCCCTGCCAGCCCAAGGGTTTTCCTGGAGATTCCCTAGAGTGTGAGGGTAGTTCACGTGCCTCAAGCAAAGAGAAGGGGCTCTGCAGAGCGACCTGTCCTGCCCGAGTCAGGAGGGAGCAGAAACCTCAGTGGAATCGTGGCTCCGAGCAGGGCACTCGCCTTCTGCCTGTGCCGCACACATTCAGGCATGGACACAGAAAGGTTCTTACCTTTAAAATAAAGGTCTTGCCATGGAAAGGTATTTCAAAAGTGTAAACAACATCCCCAAACTCCTGTGTAAGAAATGAGAGGGTCACATTTAGGCTGGCAAAAGAGAATTGCTTGTTTCTCCCCAG